TATCCCCCGACGTACTCGAGCTTGTCCCCCACGCGGGAAATAACTCGTTCCTTTCGGGGGACTTTGGCCGTCTACCTCGATCAAGTCTCCAGTATCGAGAGTTGAACTCAAGTCACCGCCCTTTTGCTCAAGGGAAATAACTTGGGGGGCTCCTGATCTGGATTGGACCTACACTTGCCCTTCGAACGGGAATCCCAAAGACAACCCAAGTTAGGGACCGTTGGGCAACTCCCCACCCGACCGTTGGAGGACGTGGCCCATGATCCCATGACAGCCATCTTAATCTGCCCTCCGGAAATCACGGGTCCAACCCTATTCTCGCGGAACAGTTGACCAAGGGGGAGCCGACTTGCTGGATTCCATACACATGTAAGCCCTGACAGTTCCTGTTATTGGGCCTCAATGTGGCCCAATAGTGGGAACCTTGGCCTAGCGCTGGGGCCTATAAATACCCTCTCTCCTAAGAGGGTCAGATATTCAATTCATCTCTCTGAACTCATACTTACTTGCTCATTTCTCAACTTACTTTACCATCAGAGTATCTTGCATGTACCCCCATCTCATTCAACTTCTGTCCGAGTCAGCTGTGACGGTACATTTCTAACCCAGTAAGATCAAAAATTAAGTATGAAATTTAAGATTTTTAAACCAAAAACTTATTTAATTCTTTAATTTATGAATAAAATTCTACGAGCTAATTGTTTAACTAAATTTCAATTTATTGTGAGCTTAATTTCATCAAAACGACTTTTTCTTTTTAATCTACCTCAAACATTATTATCAAACTTAATGCGATTTTTAATTCTAATTTTGAAAATAGTTTCATTTAACATCTACTACTCTGGACTCAATTATAAAAGAAATAATCAATTACTCTACTTACATTTAATGTTCCTCTTCTAATAATATCTATACATTAACTTTTTAAATATTATAAATGGTTGAACAAGGTAATTTCTGAAGCCCATATTTTTCTAGTATACTGTATGAGAATAAATTTATGTCCTCATATTTCGGCCATATATTTTCAGACGCATCAAAATTCTACATATTGTTAAACAAAATTCTGAATTAGTGAATATAATTTATTAAAGATATATCTATGCAAGTCTGTCGTAGATGTATCTTTGGAGTCACCCAACTTCAATACAAATATTGCCCAAGACTATATCTCACACAAAAATATTTCAGAAATGTATTTTCGGTAGACTTACTTAGATGCATTTTCGGACGCTATTAGTTCAAATACGTGTCAGCGCCCCTTCCTCGCTTACTCATACTCTTTCAAAAACTCATTTATTCAAAACACTCCTTAACCCCTATTAACCGAAACTTCAATAAATCTTCATCAAACAACATCAAACATCAGTATTCAAACATCATTGAGCATCAAGAATCAACCTGAAAAGAGAAATTATAGTTTTTTTGAAGTTATTGGGTTTATGTAAAACTGTGTAAAAGTTGAGCTTTAGGTTATGAAATCGAAAGATTTTGAGGAACGATTTAGTTAGGTAGTTTTTACGATCAATGATTTTTTTTTAGGTTTTAAGGGTCTGCATTCCTCCATTGACGGTACTTGGAGTTGCAGGTATTTTCCAGAGATACATATCTAGAAATTTTCAACGTTTACCTAAAAACCGGAGATACATCTCAGGAATAAGTCTGTCTACATCCTTTTTTCAGATTTTTGAACAGGAGTCATTGTGTAACATTTGTCTTGTATATTTACATAAATTATTGAAAGACCATCCAGATTGAGACACGACAGGGTTGCACATCATGCTTCAATTCAGAGGAAAAATAACCAACCATCCCATGATCTTTTTACCTCTAAACCGGTTGATGCAAAGGAATCATCATGTTCTAGGGCTCATGTCTCTCCACCTTCTTCTTCGTCCTCCAACAGCTGACGGAGTTCCCTTACCCATGCCTCCCCACCTCCTTCTTCACATAGACACATGAGTTCTCCTATTTAGGTACCCGAGGCAAGCGAGGCATCACAATCCCAGGCGACACCTAAGGTACCCTAGTCCTAGGCCCCATTGGTGGTACCTGATGCATCACAGTCCTAGGCGGCACTTGAGGCATCACAAGCATTCCAATTCCAACCGCCACCTGATGCATCACAAGAAGATGAGGCCGCACTTGTGACACCTCATGGTTTTGGAAGAGGCTCGTCAGACTTATCACTGTTGCCTCTTTACTCAGACCATGTCGTCGAATATATATGGGATGGAGAGGTAAAATTTAGTTGAAATTATTCAACCTAACATGTGTTTGTCTTATTATTAAGTTTTGTTTGTTTGAATCATTCTTGTTAAATCATGTATGCATGAATGTGATCCGCTAAAAACCATCAACCATATGCGGAAGATCAGTCGCCTGGAAGAGCCCATTGAGCCTATGTTTTAAGAAGTGTTGTGGCTATCATGGTTGCGCGATTTGAGCCAAGATGGTTATACTACAGTTAACCATGGTATAATTAATGCTTTTTTAGAGAGATGTCATGCAGAGACATCATCCTTCCATCTACCACATGGTGAGATATCTATCACAATGGACGATGTCGCGTGTCTGCTGCATCTTTCGATTAGGGAGAGGTCTTTAGATTATGGGAGGTGTGACAAAGAAGAGGGACTGAAGTTGATGGTAGAATACTTAGGAGTCAAACCAGAGAGTGCCATGGGGGAGCTTAACAAGACCCGTGGGGCTCATATTAGGTTTATCTATTTGCAGAAGGTGTTTAAAAACGAGATAGTGAAAGCACGACAAGCTGATGGTGAGGTCGAGGATGTAGGGCAACACAAAGTATATGCTATGAGAGCATACCTGTTGTATTTGGTTGGCATTGTCATTTTTATAGACAAGAGTGCCACTTATGTCGATGTCATGTACCTGCACTACTTTGAAGATTTTGAGTAGATCCATGAGTATAACTGGAGGACCGCTTGTTTGATCTACTTACACTCTAAATTACTTGAAAGTTGTTTGTTGGAAGACGAAGCAGGTGACTTGCAATATCACACTTTTGACGGTAACATTTATTGGTCTTCTATTGCTTGTGTGCCATTTTGTTAATCATTACAACACCGTTACTAACTAATGATTCTTGTTTTCAAGCCTAGATCCTGCAATACTTGCCACGCATCTTCGGTTGATCACTTGAGGCGACTTATACTGAGGATAAACGGTGTGCTTCTGCATTGTCCCCGCTCAGAGGGAATCATACAATAGAGCCGTTCAGGGTGTATATTTCCCGCTCGGTCTTTTAGGATATACACTTCCATACATACATCGACCACCGTGTAATAATTTTGTTTGATGACATTGTCTTATACTCATGATGGTTAACTTATAGGTCATGTCTGACAACTTCTCATATGTCTAAGTGCGTCATACATCAGTTCGACTACATACAATATATTTCCAGAGATTCTGTTGTGCCTACTCCTGTTACAATGAAACGTAGAGATATGATGCTATGTTTGATAATTATCTTAATCATATAGTATCAGATGAGACACTGTATACCATAACACCGATCAAATAAAGCTACATAGACGGTTACATATGGTGGCTCTTCCTAGTGTCACATCCTTATATGATACAAGATGCTTCAGGCGATCCACCTAGACCATCTCATCAGAAGATACCGGAGAAGGAACAAACTAGGGCAAATCATACTCATTGCCTAGATGTCGTCGTAACATGCAGATTGGACATGCGAATATTGATAGAGGACTTTTATCGGATGGCTCTGAGACGAAGGGTGTTGTAAATGTCATGATGGTGGAGGTTCGGAAGACTCTGCAGTACATGAGACAACACAAAAACATAGGAGACGAGGGCGAAACCGATTTATAATCTGTCATATACAATAGATTATTGTATATGTACTCTTAATGTATTTTGGATTATATTTTCTTTATCGATTTTAGTGTAATTTATGAATTGAATTTGTATAATTTTAATTTATAATTTTATATATGTCATTTTATTCATATCATTATTATAATCGACTTAAAATATATTTTTATTTAATACAAGAATCATTTACAAATTAATAATTAATAAATAGTACATTTCTGATATTACAAATATGTATTTATGGAACAAATTCACGGAAAAAAAATGCTAAAGGGAAGGTAGCACTGAGAAAATAAGAATGTATGTTTTTGACCCGGAGGAAAAAAGACCAGGTGTGTTTGATTTTAAAATTAAAATTGAGTTTGCCTTCAAAAAAGCGTGTTTAAAAAGGGTATATGATGCTCTACTTTTTAATGACTTGACTTGAGACATGTTCATGAAGAAGTAAACAAAAAAAGAAAAAAAAAGAAAGAAATTTGACAAAGGGAAAATTAGAGGGACGTTCCCTTTTCAAAGCCAAATGATGTCAGCAAAGTTTAGATAGTCGATTTTGAAGCAAAATAAATTCTATTCTTCCTTGGTCGCTTTTACGTTACCACCCCTCTTCTAAAATAAAATTTATTCAAACCTTTTTTAATAAAACAATACACCACAGTAACTTTTATATTAAAATTCCCATTAAACTTGAATTCACATTAATAACATCAAAACATAAAATACTTTACTTCATAATCGAGTTAACTCAAATCAATTCCAGAAAACTAAATTCACCTAAGTTTATCATAAACGTGTTAAAACACACTTAAAGATGATAACAATATAAAAATAGAATGATGTATACATACAACAAACATATAGTATTTGTCAATATATTCACAAGAAGCAAAAGCTTATCAAAACAAAATTATCCAAAAATAACTGCTCAAAACAAATTAATCAATTCATTAGTATTTTTTAGTTCAAGCAATCCAGCTGCTCGAGTTAACCCTTTAAAGATGAACAAATAAAATATTATAGATTGAAATCCCAATCTTATACAATATATCTCTGCACAACTATCAACTTTAACCTTATAGATGATGTCTCTGTACTACTACCGACTCCATACAACTGCGAACTGACGATCTATTTATTTATCGTCTAATAACATGCATCTCTCCTGAGCGTTGATCAACATGCCTAATCCATCTCTTCCCACTCCGACCACGACCATCTTTTCCCAAATTACCTCCAACCGCCGAAACATGTGCCATATCAAGTCCTTTCCCAACCGGAAGAAACACCGATCTAACAACCCGTCGTGATGGTAATCCTCCTTCTTCTCCAACAACATTCTCCCATTTGAAACCCCCACCTCTCATATTCGCATTCTTACAAACCAAAACCGCTCCTTTCTCACTCAACTTGGCCACCTTCAAAACCCTCGAGAAATCGTTACTTCCATTACAATCCACCACCATGAAATCTATCTCTTCAACGAACCTTTCCATGACTTCTTCTGCTTCTCCGACAATGATTTCCGTTGAAGCTCCTGTTTCTCCCATTCGATCATAGTATTCCAATCTCGATCTCTCGTTTGGGACTATACACACGTGTCTCCCATTCGTGTGCTTTCTCGCTATCGCTAAACCTATGCTTGTTTCGATTGCACCTCCCTCTGACCATGTTTCTACTATCACCTTCGCATTCCATCCCGCCGCCATGGCTGATATAAGCTCCGCCACGCCTGATCCACGTAAAACCTTACACTGTGAAACAAATCAAAAAAATGTTAGTCAAATTCAACATTGAAAAATTGAAAAAAAAAAGAAAAGAAGAAGAATATGTTGCTTACAGATTGTACTGTGTCGATGTATGCTTTAGATGCTGTTTCAGGGGACCAAACAAGTTTCATGTTTTTGTTTATGTTTATGGTTGTGTTGTGGGGTTTGAAGATTGTGTTGGGAAGAAATGAGAATATAAGAAAGTGGAAAGTATTTATGAACGCGGTTAGGAACGAGTTTTCTAGAGAGATAGAGATAGAGAGAGAAAAAGAAGGAGAGTTGAAGTTAATTTATTTATTCCGCGCCAAAGCCAACGTGTTGGTGATAGTATTTGGATAAACTTGGTTATTTGGTTTTTTGTTCAAACTCTTTCTTTGACGACTTGTTTCTAATGCTGTCACGTTACCATGACTTTATCTCTCTGACTCATGTGTTTAAATGCAGCCATGTACCAAGCTATGTCTATTTTTGAAAGAATCAACCTACCTATGTTACTCTTTTATTAAGCTTTTTTATAATATTCTTTTTGTCCTGAATATTTAATTTTCTACATATTTATTAGTTTTTTTATTGATATTGTTGTTAGTTTGCTTTGAAATATAAAAAGACAACATTAAATATGTTTATGCATAAAAGTCAGTGTTGTAATAATCAAACATAAACTATATGAATTATTGTTAAAACATGTCCATATTTTAATACTTTAAATTTAAATTTTTTTAATTAATTTTTTTTTAAATTTCATATTGTTAGAATATCTTTTTGGTTGAAAAAATTATTTAGTTTCGCATTGTTTATGTGAGAAATATTAATTAGTTTACTTCATTATATAAAGAGTGTATATATTTCATTCTCAATTACACCAAAAATTATTCTATTAATTTTTTCTTTTCCACTCTCATTATTCTGCGTTTTTCGAATTGTCGAAGCACCATCTTCCTACTCGTTGAATTTTTCAAATATTTTCTTGAATTCTCTTTAGAGAATTATGTTAATTTTTTCTCATTTGAGTTGAGAAATTTTCAAGTATTAATTTTTTGGATTCTCTTTTGAGAATTATTTGAATTTCTCTTTGTTGGAGAAATTATTATGAGTGGTCAAATGACCATTATTAAATTCTCTTTGGAGAGTTATTTGAATTTCTCTTTGTTTAAGAAATTATTTCGACTTGTCTTTGTACCAGATACTACGAGTGATATTGATACCATATTTGAATGGTCATGAACCATCAGATTGTATATTTCTAGACCGATTATCTACCATATAAGTAGTAATTGTACAATATAGAACTTGGTTGTTTTATCCTGGAGGCGACGCAGTAGTTCGACTATTTTGTATAATTTTGAGCAGTGCTGCGAAACGCCTTAAAGAGAGCGACCTAGTCCACGACTCAACCTGATAATTTTTTCGGTGGAAAATGTTTCAAAATCCGAAAACAACAATTTTAAGACGTTTCAAACTGCCATGGTTACCGAGGAAATTATTGGTACTTTTGCGGATATTGTCTTTGAGAAATCATTGAGGAAAGTCACTTCAAATGTTGGCAACAAAAGATAAAGTTCTTAACATTGAAAAAAAATTGCTAACGTTCTGATCGATGACATTCTGTTGCTCCTTCTGAATCAATCGAACAAACTAACGGTAGTAAATCTGGAGATATAGAAGGAACACTTAATAGTGTTGAAGTTGAATCTGATGCACAGATTAAAGCGAACGATTTACAGCATAGGAAAAAAGTCACCTTATAGAAAGAGAGTGAAAATCTCTACAAAATCATATTTTGAATAGAATCGCAGATGATTTGTATGATAATTACAGTTGATGTGATACTGCAAAATAAGATTGAGAGACTAAAAAAAGAAGTATGACGTAGAAGCTGAAGCAAATAAGTATGTTGTTAGCCGCTACTTCAAGTATCAAATGCAAAGATGTAAGGTCGGTGGAGGTTCAATGTTACGAACTTCAAAAGATTGCTTAAAAGATCATCACAAAAGGTATGTGTTTAAATGAACAATTTCAAATTGGTTTTATTATTGACAAACTACCCCATAGTTGGAATGTTTTAAAAAAAAACTTTGCTTCGCCACAAAACAAATGAATGTTTGATTGAGAATCCGATTATTCGCCTTGAGTTAAAAAAAGGGAATCTTAGAGACAATATCAAAAAGAAAAAGTCTTGGTTGTTTCAAACAACAAAAAAAAAAATTCGGTGTAATTCTGAAGCCATTTGGCAAATGATTAAAGAATCAGAACCACAATATTGTGAACCGAATTGAGAATGAGAATCCTTCTATGATCCCAATAGCTCCAACTAGGCAACAACCACCACCTAAAAGAAATGACGCTGGTTTCCTTTTATTTTAACTATGAAAAATCAAGTCATATGACTAATAAATATAGAAGTAAGCTTGAACTTGGTGTTGTCCCTAATGCACAAGTCAAACTGACTAATGGGAAATTTATTGCTATAGTCATTGAAATCAACATGGTTGATGGATATGTTGGTTGATGGATAGACACATGTGGTCTCTCGTTGTGTCTGTTATGACCGTGTTATGTTTAAAACATACATTAATACTAAAGATAAGAAAGTGTTGTTAGAAGATGGCCAGACCATGAATGTTGCTGGAATTGTAGACATGAAGCTAAATTTCACCTTCAAAAAGACTTTAATCTTAAAGAACCTTATGCATGTTCCTAAGATTAGAAAGAATATTATTTCTGGTTTTCTTTTAAATAAGACAGAGTTTAGTCAGTCTATTGGGGTAGATTTGTACGCCATTACGAAGAATGAAGTTTATATGTTTAAAATTTTTGTAAAGAATTTGAAAATGATATAATAAGAATTTGTAGTGATAGAGAAATTGTATGATTCTAATTTATTAATGAATTTTATACATGGAAGAATTGTACATGAAACAACTGCACCATACTATCTTGCAATGAATGATAAAATAGAAAGAAAGAATAGAACTCTTACTGAACTTGTTGCAATTATGTTGAATTCTAGTGTTGCACCTCACTAGTGGGGGAATTTTGTTGATTGTTTGCTATGTCCTGAATCGAGTTTCCAAGTAAAAAGTAAGATCTCACCTTATGAGATATTAAAGAAAAGACAACCAAACTTGTCTTATTTAAGAACTTGGGGATGTCTGACTTATGTCAGAATTCCGGATCCGAAACGAGTTAAACTCGCTAGTAGAGCATATGAATGTGTTTTCATTGGGTATGCAGCAAACAGTAAAGCATATAGGTTTTATAACCTAAAGGCAAAAGTGATCATAGAATCAAATGATGTTGAATCCTATGAAGACAAATTTCCTTTCAAATTTAGAAATAGTGGGGGCACACAATCGAGTCACATTCTTGTGAAAAGAAGCACAGAAAACAACGACAATGTAGAAACAAAACTTCGACGAAGTAAACGAGTAAGAGTTGCTAAAGACTATGGGCCTAATTGTGCGGCTTATAATGTAGAAGAAGATCCAATGAATCTTCAAGAAGCTTTGTCATCTCTAGATGCTGATTTATGGCAAAAATCTATCAATGATGAGATAGAATCTCTAGAATCTAACAAGACCTGGCACTTAGTAGACTTGCCTCCTGGTTGTAAACCAATCAGTTGTAAATGGATTTTGAAAAAGAAACTAAAACCTGATGGAACTATTGATAAATACAAGGCTCGCCTTGTTACCAAGGGTTTTAGACAAAGAGAAAATATAGATTCCTTTGACACCTTTTCTCCTGTCACTAGAATTACATCCATTAGGGTACTTATTCCAATAACTTCTACTTATAACTTAATAGTACACCAAATGGATGTTAAAACAACTTTTTTAAATGGTGACTTAGAAGAAGAAATCTAAATGGAACAACCGGAAGGGTTTGTGATCTATGGACAAGAAAATAAGGTCTGTAAGTTAGATAAGTCTTTGTATGGACTAAAACAAGCTCCTAAGCAATGGAATGAAAAATTTGATAACTTAATAATATCAAATGGGTACAAAGTGAATGAAAGTGACAAATACGTTTACTATAAATCAGAGAATCGCACATGCACTATCATATATCTCTATGTAGACGATATACTCATATTTGGATCAAACATTCAGACCATTAATGATGCGAAATCACTGTTGTGCAACAACTTTGATATGAAAGACCTCGAAGAAGCAAGTGTGATCCTTGGTATCAAGATCACGAGATCCGAACAAAGAATTTCTTTGGATCAATCACACTATATGGAGAAGATCTTAAAGAAATATAATTACTTTGATAGTAAACCTGTGAGCACACCATATGATCCAAGCGTGAAGATGTTTAAGAACACTAGTGAAAGTGTTAGACAAACATAATATGCGAGCATCATTGGAAGTCTTAGGTATTCAATTGATTGTACCAGACCCGACATTGCATATGTCATAGGATTGTTATGCAGGTTTACGAGTAGACCGAGTAAAGAGCACTGACAAGCTATTGAACGAGTCATGAGGTACCTCAAAAGGACCATGGATCTCGGCCTACATTATCAGAAGTTTCCTGTTGTACTAGAAGGGTACAATGGTACAGATTGGAATACTTTGTCAGATGATTCCAAAGCTACTAGTGGCTATATATTTAGTATAGCTAGAGGAACTGTATCTTGGAAATCAAAGAAAGAAACTATCCTAGCTCAGTCCACAATGGAATCTGAGATGATAGAACCAGCCACAACTAGTGAAAAAGCAAGTTGATTAAGATTCTTGCTAACTGAGATTCCTTTATGGGAAAAACCTATGCCAGCTGTGCTGATCCACTGCGATAGTACCACAGATATTGCAAAAATTAAGAACCGTTATTATAATGGTAAAAGACGTCAAATAAGAAGAAAGCATAACACTGTTAGAGATTGTATCTCTAAAGGATCTATAAGAGTGGATCATGCACGCACTGATGAAAACTTAGCAGATCCTTTGACGAAAGGATTGGCTAGAGAGAAAGTCCATAATACATCCAAGAAGATAGGACTAATGCCTATAAAGAAATGAGTTGCTCATAATGGTAACCCGATCTAGATGACTGGAGATCCCAAGAAATAGGTTTAATGGGTAATAACAATTTGTGAGTAATATGAGATGATCATGCAAGTAAA